AGTTTCCTGGTACTTCTAAGGTTGTTCCAGAGCTGAAAAGGATTGGAGATTGGAAGAGTGTTAAGGAGTATTATTTTTCCTGTTCTTACTCTTCCCTTAGCATTGGCTTATGGATATTTTAAAACAAGCTGTAGGGTTCCATTGACACCTTTGACTGTATTTGGGTTAAACCATCCTTATGACTTTTTCTCAGGTGCCTATAACTTTGGCAAAATAACCATATAGGTTGAAGTTTTTCCTGATGTGTGCTATGTTGGATTATATTAACTTTCATCAGAGTGGGTCCTGCTGTTTTCTCAGAATAGGGTTGGATTTTTTTTTGCCTTTTAAGTTGTTTCTGGCAACTGCGAGAACATACAGTACATCTGTGCACTGTAATAGCAGTTTGACACAGTTTTGTACTGGAGAGGTGCTTATTGCTACTGTTTTGAGTTTATGATCTGACCAGTTTAAAAGTTCTGGAGTTATTAGTATATGCTCAACTTTATCAATCTGGGGAGCTAAATTCTGTGTGGTCCCTGCACCTGTGTCCTTTCTTCCTCTGTGCAATGTTCAGTCTGTACACCCCTGCCATGCCTGCCTCGCACTGCCATCCTCTTTGAGTATCTGCAGCCCAGCTCCAGTCTTTTGGGGGAGAGGTGTTGTCCTTTTCCCCCCTTGAAAGTTATTCCTTTTAACTGATGGTTTTACTAGGAGCAGAGTGAAAAAGGGAAACTTCCAGTGATCCCCTTCTGGGAATTCAAACACAAGTTGGACGTAGTAGTGAGACTGGCTAGCGGGAGGTGATGAGAGGGGTGAAGATGGGGTGTGCAGTGTGGAGGAGAGTAGACATGGTTAGGCTGTGAGGAGAGAGAGCTTACAAGGACATCTAATTACAAATAAACGCTCGCTATGGAACAAGGGTGAAACCTTTTTGACTGTAAGTATGCTTTTCCTTGCAGATAATACAGCTGATGTGGGAAAAATTCCAGTCTTCTAGCTGGGTTACGGTGGCTTTCTGCTTCTGTTGCTTCATTACTTCAAGTTGTTGACGTCTATGCCTTGAAGTCAAATTCAGCCCTGCGGGTTTATTTTGTTCTGTCTAGCAAGCTTCAACCTTAACTTTTTATAATATAAGCTGATTTTAACATAGGCATTTTTATAAGCTGCAATGGCCCACAGTTAAGGAAGGTAAATAACCCTGAAACTTTTTATAACCTTAAGTCACTCTCTACTTTTTAAGAGTGCTCAATATAAAAAAAAAAAAATAGAGGAATGGCTTTTGGCTGTAACTTGTATTATTCTGAGCTGTTACATTTTAGTCTTTTGGATTATATCACTGCTAACTGTTTCACAACTTTATCTTGGCTTGAAGTTTAAACAGTCTAAAAACTTTGGCATCTTTTTCTTGACATCTTTAGTTGTTTATCTGCAGACCTAACATTTATAGTGAGCAAGTCCCGTAATGCCACATGCTCTGTAATTACCTTTGGTTTTTTGGTTAACTGTATCTTGGTTAAGCAGATTGATAGCTGCTTATTACAAGTAGACTGGCTAGCAGTTTCTCTTCCTCACTATGCTCAAAGGTCACTGCTATTTCTGGGCTTGAAATGAGGGTACAAACTTGGTCAATAAGTCTTAGCAGAGGAATCTTTCTTTTTCTCTTAGCTGAATTGCAGCTCTACTGCCTCACTTGGCAGGTGGAAAATAGTAACTTGCCCTCAGTCTTTGGAGTAAAAAACTAAAGAGTATAGCTAGGCAAGCAGATATGGTGCTACTGTGCTGTACTTTGGAAGTCTTCCTTTCAATAAGACTTGTTTGTCAAGAGTAAGACTTTTCAGAGGCATGGGAAAGGCAATGATCACTAGCAAGTAATAGGATGCAAGAAATCTCAATCCTTACTATATGCTCAGATGTAATGTAGAGCTTTTTCCATATATAGCAGGTGCTCCATTTATTTTCCTCCAAACCTAATGAAGCTTTTATGTAAAACTTGGTATGCATAGCCCAGAAGAGAGATAGGCGAGCTGTGTTCTGCAGTCTTAATTTTTTATACTTGAGCAGATAACAGTAATTATTAGCCTTCTCAGAAAAGATTTCTCTAGGATGCCCAGGTGACCTGGATCTCTGTTCCCCTATTTTGCTCCCCTTGAATTAAGGGAGGTTGAATTGCTGCTGGGTTTACTACTGATTTTTGCCTCTCTTTTGCCAAGTGACTGCATTCTGAAATGGTCGCTGCTTTAGGTGCATTTAAGTGATCTATGTATTTACAGCCTGGTCATCCAGGCACAGAGATCTGTCTTATGGCTGGTTAGATGGAAATACCTGAAAACCACACCCTCTAGGAGGAATCTGGAGAAAGGAGCAATTGAGTTCAGGATTGCTTGCTACCTTAACTGAAGGAATCTTTCTGGAGTACTTTTCAACCTCACCATGCAGTCTTGTAATTGGTAGTTATCAGCTGGCAGCTTTCATAGTACAATGTTCTAGGTGGTAGTGAATTGCTAGCGTACCCAGAGATGAATGTCTCATGCACTAGTGGCTCAAACTTTAATATTAGAGGGAGAAAGAATTGTGCAGCTAAGGGTTCCAGAGGTGTACCTTAGTGTGGTCCCTTGCATTCAGACTGTAAGAGCAATGGGATTGTGGGAGGAAAAAGCATAGCAATAAGGATGCTTGAGAAAATACTTCAGTTCTAAGATTAGTGGGTTTCTGGATAGCTGCCAAAGAACTCCCAGGCTGTAACGCTTCTGAGTTTATGTGTAAATGTAAAGCCTGCCTAGTGGAATGATGTGTTTTAATGTTAATTACTTGCTGGATGTATTTGCCTATGCTTTTCAAAAGAGTAATTTAAAATGAATAGATATACAGTTCCAGCTCAATGGATCAGGCTAGTGATAGACAATTATATATATACAAAAACATTTCTGAAAAGTCCTGGCTTTATGCTGTGCTGTCAGGAACAGCAACCTGATTTATCCCCAGTAGAAATTAGGAAATTTATGCTCAGCCTTAACTAAACAATGAATGCTGATTAAAACCATTCTACTAAGCTGGGAATGATTTAATGTGATAGAATCATCCTTTTGTTCATCATTGTTGCTAGCTTTCACATGACTGCAGTGAATACTAGTTTGATCAGCAGAAAATAATGCATAATGCTCATGCCTGGGATCCCACAAGTGTATTCATAACTTGTTTTTTACAAATGCTCTTTAAGCATTGTCCAAATGGTTCGTTCTTCTTTGTAGTGATATGGACACTCCACCTACATGTTCAAAAGCTTTTTGAAAACCATGTGTAGTAAAGCTGTGTACCTCTGCTGGAGCCTTCTGTTAATATCAAAGGATATTAGGAAACAATTTGTCATAAGGATCAAGCCGAGACACGCTTGTGCCTAACCTTGTTGTCTTTGACTATTTCTAGGCCATTAGACAAGGCAGTTGAATAAAATACTTAAATTGACTGAAACACTGAACATCTGGCTCAAATGTTAGGAATGGTTTTGTACTAAATGATGGTCTTTTCTCTGTTCCATACTTAATGTAGGCAAAAGTTTTGGAAAATAGTATACTAATAGTATAGGACCGTCTAGAGTAGGAGAAATCTTGACTGCAAGTAAAATAAATATTACAACCCAAACACTTTTGTCAAATAGGCTCTTTTAGATGCATTTCAGTATGCACAAACATTGTTACATTCACTAAGTTTAATTACACTCACAGAAACATGGTGTAGGTAGATGAGCCTACACCATGTTTCTGAGAGTGCCAAAGGGATGTAGCATATGCAGTGTGCCTCTTGTTGCCCTCAGCAGGGAATCCCTTTCCTACTTAATCCAACAAGGAGATGAATTTAAAGACCATAAAGGTAGCTGGTGAGGACTTGACAGTTAAGTTAGTCATCTGGCACTGGTAAACATTTGAACCTTTAAACTGAGGTTCCTGTTGCTAGTTCTGAAGACCCTAACACTGATCCTGCTCCTTCACTCCCTGGAATTGTCCCCTGACTTCAGGCAGGGTGGAACTTATGTAAGTGTTGCCCAGGACATGAAGTGAGTTACTGCATGGGTATTTGAGTATGTCTTACTAATCAGGACATATGCTGTCTCAAATATAAGTAAAACTTTTTATTTCCATGTGTTCCTTAGTCAAGGTCTTGTTTTCATCGTCTCTTACTGCAACGTACTCTAGATATGAGGCATCATAGTCTTCAGCATGTTGTAGAGGTGGCTAAAAATGTCTTTTTTGGAACTCGGAACACTATGGAGGACAGGTCTTCTAGACAATGCTTGTTAAATAGGTGTATGTCATTATATGACTAGGTTATGCACTCAAATTTTGAGTGGAATTAGTGTTTTGAATTCTAAATGATTTTAAAATTTAATAAGTTCATTCAATTTGCAGTTTTTCCTTTTAGAGAAATGTAACTAACCAAATTGGGCAACAGCCAGTGAAATACTCTCCTTATAGTATAGTCATGCAGTATTGGAAATGTGTCTTGCTAATATATAACTTCAGTTATTGAAAAGAAGCTTATCTAAGGCTAAAACTTGCAAGTATTTTCAGAAGGCCTGTTCTTCAGTCTAAAGATACCATTTCAGAAGAATTAAACTTGTGTGATGAAAATCTTTTAATTTTCACACTTTGCAATTTATATGATCCTAAATTTTACTCAATATTAGGATTTTTTTTGAGATCCTAATTTGCTGTGCGCCTTCATTCTTGTGCATATATTGTTGTACATATTGTATCTTTCACATTGTGTTTAAGCATCTGAAGAAAGTATGCATGTAAAGGGATAACAGCACAAATCTCTTGACTTAGCCATATTAGAAAGGCTAGATAATAGTAATTTCACTGATTGTAGTACTTCATAGAACTTCTGATTGTTCTTCTGCTTCATTTCTAAAGGTTATAATCCATCTTGCCGGGTGAACAAGTGCATTGCAGAAAGAGTATATAGTACTAAGATTCCTGCGTGGTAAGCTATGTTTAACAGTGATTTGCAATTATTTATAGGTGCTGTTGGTAAGCAGTAGCCGATACCCAGATCAGTGGATTGTACCAGGTGGAGGAATGGAACCAGAAGAAGAACCAGGGGGAGCAGCAGTCAGAGAAGTGTATGAAGAGGTAACAAAACCAAAACGGATCCCAGCTGCTTTATGCTGCTAATACCTTCCGATGGGTATTGGGAAGAAAGAACTCTACCTCCTGCATGCTGAATTTGACTTAAACTTCCATAATTGAGAAATTTACTACAGTTCTCTGTATTGGAATGAGGGTGTAGTGTGGTGAGGTGAACTGCTTAGCTTGTGGTCCAACATGCTCTCTTTGTTGAGCTGAATTTTGGTCTGACTTTATGTATACACTGGAAGTGCAACTATGACTTTATGCCGAATGAGATTCTATAGTGAAGTAGCAGTTCTGTGCTTGTGCAAAAATGTTTGATCTACAGCTCTTCTGTAAAAGACTTAAAGTGGGGAGGAAAAAAAACATTAATGGATGTATAGCTACTTAAGAAAGAAGAAAGAAATAAGCAAAGCTTTGAGGAAATTCCAAGCTAAGCTAAACAGATTAGAAACTGATATCTGAGCAGTTGAGAATTCAATAGTAAAAGTTCTGGTAAACATACTGAAGGCTGTTATCTATACAGAAAGCATCATAGGTATGATGTGCCTTTCAATCCCTGCTCCTATCCCCAGTCAAAACAATTTTAAGTCTCGATAAACAAATGCAGTTTCCCTACTCTACTATGGTGCTTATATTTCAAATTCAATTTTATAACTTTGTTTATTGTTCCTAGGCAAACTGTTACATATTTAAGTAACATTTAACATTTTTAACAGCTGACTCTATAAGCCAAATACTTCAAGAAAAATCACTGAGTCACTCAGTTTAGCAAGAAATGATACAAGCTTCAAGTGACTACAAATCAACTTGAATTCTTTGCGTTGTACTACTTAAATAGAAAGTACAAGATTTTGCAGAAAGTGGTACATGCTAGCAAGTGTGTGAATTACAGTATTTCTGCTAGAATTTGACAGTTTTCCCATCCCAGTTTGACGACTTATACAAAGCATACTAATGTTACTAAATAGTATGTATAAAGATTTCTTTTGAATAGCTGAGCTACTTGCTGCTTTTGCTGCTTTACCCTTAAGACTGGTTCTGCTGGGTTGTGGACACTAGGGAGCTTGACGTAGATGCAACTTAATCCAAAAGCTGCTTGCTTTTGGGTGTCAAAATGAGCCCATGAACTGTAATTCTGTGACCCCCCCCCCCTTACATGGGGAACAGAATAGTTCAGTGTTCACTGCTTTCGGAGTCCATGCAACAAGATTAAAGAATAAATAAGCCTCACTGATATAAAGTTATTCTAGACTTTCTGACTGTGTTCAGTTTTGCTGTGAGCCAGTTCTCAGTTGCATAAGAGGTATTCAAATAACTGCTGCTGTGTTTATAAAAGTAAAGGAGACAGCCACAGGGCACTCCCCTGCCATTTGGAGGGAGCAAGGATCTAGGATTCCAGGAACGAAAGGCAATAGTAGCACCTCTGGAAAATTTCTGACACTTCCAGCTGTTGGGAGATGATGGGGTGGAGTTAACACAGGTCCACTGGTTCAGTGTTCCTCTGAACGCTGGTAGTTTTAATCACCAGTAAAACACAGTCTAAGATGAGGGATAATAAAATACCTCATCTCTGTCGAACAAGAGCTGAACTGAATCATAGTCATGTTTTTTTCTCTGTGGTGAAGAATGGCTCATCTTGCAGGAACCCATCTGCAGTTAGTATGTTATAAAACTTGCTGTGGGAGTTTGACCAACTAGCTTTTCAAAACTGCTAGTGGTTCAGCTGCTTGGCTTGCAAGCAATACAGTGCTAGAGATGAAATTCTCAGGCTAACTTTCGAACAAAGTAATATAGCAGTCAGAGTTGCGATATTTGGACTGTAACTAGTTTTCCGCTATGCATGCTTCTATCTGGATATGTTTGGAGGAATACTTTCAAGTATCCCTGTTCCAAAGCCTGTTCACTTGACCTTTGCTGGAGCTTTGCTCATGAATTTTTACAGACGTGCAGTGCAAAGGGAATGAGCGTTGGGGAAGATCAGGCTGGGATAGGAAAGGAGTTGGTATGAAATATCACTAGATAGTACATTTTATAGTATAAACATCTGTAGAAAATTCCCCATTAATGGAAAAGCAGAGTATGCACACTGTCTGGACGTGGAAAACTTCATGGCTGCTGCACACTGATCCCAAAACATCGGTTACTTTCAAATGATCTCTTCTTGTGAACGGGCTTTCATACCAGCGGGCAAAAAAGAGCAAGGCAGGAAGTGAGAAGTAGTAGTACCTGCTGTTATGATGTGGTATAGTCCTAGTATAGCGCAGTTTTAGGCTTGGCCTCATCCCTTCGTCAGGGCAAGGCAAGACTTTCCCATGCATCATGATACCTTTGGTCGAGGATTGTATTGTTGTCTATGTAACAGTTCTGTGGTCAGGAGTAGCTTTTCTTTCCAACAAACGTCCTCGTTCTGGGATGAGTTTTTTCACATCAGCAGACTTGAAATGGATTCTTCTCCATATGTCTTGTCCCAACAGTCAAAGCATAAGGGATAAATCCATGTACAAACCAGGCAAAATTTTGCTAGGCAGACGCTTAGGGAAAAACAGTATCCTGTCTTCCAGGATGCTTAGAACATCTACAGCCTGCAGATTCAGGCTTGGCTCTTAAAAACTGCCTTGTGCCTGTTAAAATTCATGTTACCTTAATTGAAGATATTGCTGCAGTCATTTCCAATAGTGATTGGAAATGTTGTGCACCGAACTGCAGTACACTATAGAGGGAAAGTGTGTATATATATATGTATCTGAGACTGTAGCTAAATGGTGATATATGCTTGTACAGTCTATATTTACAGAGCACAATTTAAGTGATCATTATCTTTAAATTCAGATTGAGGGTAGAGTATATCTAGTATTATGAGCAACTATAGACTGTTTTGAATCCTGAAAAAAGATGTCAGCCGCCTCCTGCTCATGTGCAAGATCTTTAGGCCAAGATTTGCTCAAGCCGTATCACACAAAGGGGATCTTAACAGCAGATGCATATCAAACTGCAGCTTAGGGAAATGTTTTGAAGGCCTGTCTGTATATTGTATGTTATGCTGTTCTATAGCTGCTTAGGATATATGCATGTGATGGGGTTTTTGCTATCAAAATTCTTGGTCAGAGGCTTCATGATAGGAAAGCTGGGTTTTGTAAGTGACAGAAAGAATGGCAACATCATTAGTGTTTATACACTGCGAGAGAAACTGTTTCTAAAGGTAAGGAAAAACCCTTCAAGTGTGAAGCCTCTTGCAGAGCTGGCTGCAATTGTTACAAGATTCGATGTTGCTAGCAGGGTTTTGGGGGTGGTGTGTGTGTGGTTTTTTTCCTCTCAGAGGTTAGACAGACCTTGGCGCTCTCTTATTATAGTAGTTACTTTTTCCCCCAGAGGAAAACACAAACTGCTAGCCCCATTGAAGTCTTAGCTGTGCTTGCATGTGCATAAAGGTTCTTCAAAAGCTAGTGGCTTTAATCGAAAATTGTTTGCAAACACTTGTTCTACAACCTCAGCTTTTTCTGTGCTCGATAGCTTGTGTAGTTGATGAACTTCAAAGTACATGACCTAAATTAAAATGTTCTTAAGCCACAGCATGAGTCTTTTGAGTGCCATAAGACTGCAAAGAAAAGTGCCCTTTTTAAAGAGAAGCCAGAGTGGTGTTCGGTTTTCATTTGAGCCATGGAAGTTCCTTCTGTCCTTTTTAGAAACAGATGTCCTTTCTATTTTTATACTAAGGTCAATGTCACCTTGCAAGCTGGATGCAGTACAGTGAAGCGAACTGTTAAGAGTTTTGTGAATGAATAAACTTCAAAGGAGACTCACTGTGGCAGTGGCTTGAACTGTTTCTTCAGTATTGGGTCATGCACAGACTAACCTGCAGTTCCCATTAATTTATTAAAATGGGGAAATTAAGTCAGTGGTGTTGTAATGGCATTTCCTAATGGTAGGCGCGCTAATACTTCACAGCATGAAGCCTGCTGGTTCTCAATAGTCCTCACTTTCCCACTAAGTGTTGTATTTAAAATCCTTATTTTAAAACCCAAGCGAAGATCCTTGTAGTCAAATGTGCACGCAGTGCAGTTGCTCCGTAGTCAGCCTGTGTGCATGACTCTTTTGATGTTCTATTTACTGTGTTGTGAGTTTTGCCTCTAAAATGTTTAATATGAACTTCATTTCAATTCCTTGTTTCTATTTCAGTATGGCTGTGTAACTGAGTATAAAATGAATGTCTATCATTGGACAGGTTACAGTAATTAAGATAGCCTGTCCTACTGTACCTACTTCCTTAGGTACAATTTTTTTCCAACACGAAACTAGATGCCAATGTGAAGTCACAATATAAAACAATCCCAGAAAGGCATTAAACCTAATCCAAGTGAGGAGCTACTCTGTTAATGAATTAGTTTAGTCTTTTAATTAGGTAGCATGAAAGATGGAGATGGGAATTGTTTGCGCATGCAGTGATCAAAGGGAAGTACAACACAAATAATAAAGCTGGCAAGCTGATTATGCTCAGCCTCTCAGACTGAAGGAGCGTTCTCCCACTCCTTTTCTGTCCTCCCAGGAAAAATTACTCTTGCTCTGTTTATACTTGTAGTATACTGAAATGCCAGCCATGAAAATGTATAATTCCTCAGTGACCTGTGGGGATATAGCCTCTGAGAAGAGGAGACTGGTCATGATGGTTAATCTGCTGCAACAGTGAAAATGCCAGTAACTTTATCTGAGACCTCTTACAGGAAATAAAGGAATCTGCCCCAGTGAGCATTTGATACTTGGAAAATGACTGGGGTTTCAGAGCTAGGACTGTCTTTTTAAGGAGGGGAGGAAAAAATCCTTTCGAAGGAAAGATTACAGCAGGTACCCTTCAAGTTTTATGTAAGCTTGCAAGAAAGGGCAGGAATAGCCTTGCACTGTGTCTTCGGGGAGAGTAGCTATTAAAGTACTGCCTAATAGTTCCCACAATTAAAATAACTCTCAAATCTTCAAATTTTAAGCAACTTTCTGCCCTGGTAGACTTAGCCTAAAAGTTGAACTAAAGCGTGACTCTTGCTCCACCTACGGGAAACACGGGGCAAGTCCGGCTGCATGTCTGGCATTGCAGTATGTCTTAATCTGCTGATTGCGAATGGCTTCCAGGCCAAAAAGATGGTGGGATGAACTGGCTGGTTTTTCCTTTTGTGGTTGGATTTAGTCTAATGTTAAAATGTATGTGGAAGTTCAGATTTAAGACATTGTCTACATGGTGCTCATAGAATTCCTTAGGGAATTGTTCTATGTGGGTGCAGTGCTTAATTCAACAGCTTTGCTGAAAGAAATGCTGGTTTGTCAGGCTTTTCTCCCAAACTTTAGTGCATCTCACTTGCTTGCTGTAGCCTATAAGATTCTCTTTACTTAAAGAACTGTATTTTGTTTGACAGCCTTGGGCGTATAATGGCCAAAGGAAAAGGGGGGGGGGGGGGGGTTAGAGGCATGTGGGGGTGTTAGAGGCAAATGATTCAAAGTCTAGAACTTCACCAGTATACTGGAGTAGAAGCTTACAGTTGGGAAAGTGGGACTTTGGTTTTCTAGGAAAATGCTGAGGCAGTTCTTGGTCCTCTAGCACTTCCTTTTTTTTACGTGTTTTGAAGGAGCTTCATTGAGGCAAAAACTTGGAGGAAATACTTTTTTTAGCAGTATTTCTTTTTAAAAAAAATCACTAATTTTAATGGTAGTTTATAAACTATCAAGAAGATGCAGCTCAGGTCAGAATAGTTTATTTTCAGGAAAAAATCATGAGACTCTAGTTACTGCCTTTTCCACTTCAGGGTATAGAATTTCAAAGATAATACTATGTGCAAGAATGATACTACATTTTGGAAGCACATCTTTGCCTAGAGTAACTAGAAATCAGTGGCAGTAATCACATTTAGCATAGCCACATCTAGTTGTGCAAATGAAAGCTTAGTTACAAGGTTTGGGGGATTTTTACACTTAATATAATGGAGTACTTCTAACTTTTTTCATTCGGAATTACTCGGTTAAGAATATATTAACACTGATTTGTGTGGAAAGAGAACAGAGAAAGTGTTTATGACATGAGCTGATGTAGCTGCTTTAACAGATCTTTGATCTAAGTAAGGCCTTTGCCAGGACTTCTCAAAGAGATTTAAAATCTCGAATGCTTTTTGGTTCTATATTTTTTTCTTCCCTCCCTTCCCTACAGCATGCTCTCCTTTAGAGCAGTTCCTTGGTACTTGAAAAAGCTTTGCTTAATGGTTGAGAAACCTGCAGAGTCCATATCCGGTGATCTGCTATGCCATTAAGCCATATCTCTTAAGGATATCAAACTATCTTGTTTTAGGAATCTGCCATGACTTTAGGGATGAAATGAACAAATTACAATTTGTGCAACTAAAACTGTATGCTTGGACAGCTGAAGTATTATAAAAACCTCTGATTTGCAGTTATGGAATATTTATGTATGATGGAATAACATGATGCAAAACCACTTTAATTGTTTAGTTTGCCACAAACTAGAAACTTTAAAACAAGAGATGTAGTGACCTACCTAGCAATTCCTAGGTATTGCTGCATGAGGAGAAATGTTTCTGTCCCCAATTTTCTCCCAAGTTTCTATTGCTTTAGGTTCTGCTTCTCTTTTAAAAGATACTGTAATGTTAAAGGAACTAAGATTGATCAAGAAAACTTCTTAAATATTTATTGTGTGTTCCGTTAGGCTACTAAATGTTTTCCCATTACTCAATGTAAATTACAAGTCTTTAGTGCCTGTTATGGTATACCTGACTCTTTCAGACCAAAATAGGGGACTATCATGGTCGTGAATGAAGTGCTGCCTAATCAGATATTTAACATGTGTAGCTAAGTATTTCAGCCTCATTCTGTATTGCAACAATAACTGCAATAGGAGATTATTGAAGAACTCTAGTAACTTCTCCAGCCAAAATAGTGGTGGGTGCTTTTTAAAAAAAAAAAAGGGGAGGGGGGCAGGAAACACTTCTACATGATGAATTTCTTTTTTTTCTACAGAGGCTATAGCTGACTGATCTGGAGAGCCTCTAAAATTTATCAATTCACATTTATTTCCATAAATCTGTTGAAAGTAAAGTTAGTTGTAGAGACTTGCTAATCTTTCAGTTTATATGCAGCATCACTGTTAATGAACAAATACAGTGATGTTGCTAGTTAGAGTTCATCTGATCACTCTCCTCCCTAACTAGTGTCTCTTTCAGCACAGCGCATGACCCTCTGGCCATGTTGTATGTGGCTTTGCATTAACTTCAGGCCTAGTTCTTACTCTAGATAAGCAGAATGCTTGTTGAGTTTCAGTGACTGAGATTAAGCTTGCTTCATCAAAGCTGCTTAATGAGTACCACTAGCCATCTGCTTTCTTTAAAAAGAAAGGCATAGAAAACATTCCCTTCTAAGATCTTGATTAGACTATTGCTAAGACTTGCCCAGTTGTCTGTCAGAGTTATTTACTAAATTGTAATTAAGATCCATATGGTCCGTTATAAAGACACAACATCAGTGACTTTCTCTGGTCAAAGCTGGAAACAAAGACTGAAGGATAGAAAACGTCATTCTAGTGCTAAAAAGCCCTGTTTTAAATATCTTTAGACAAGACAAAAATGTTAATATGACTTTGTCTACCAGAAGACTACATATGTTTTTGTCTCAAGCAGGCTCAGTTTTTTTCAGAATAAATGGGTGATCATAAATGACTTGTGATGGAAAAAGTACTATTCATGGAAAATCAAATCCTAAAATGTTAGTGGAATACAATCATCAGCTTAACTGTATTGAAGAAAAGTACTAAGGACAAGCTGACGCACAGAAGGGTTGTTTAAAAACTTGGAACAGAACAATTCATGTGAAATAGCAGTGGAGTTTTAAAGATTCCTGCTCTAGATTTATTACTATACTACTTTAAATCATCTCTTACCCCATCTGCTTTCATTATTAATCTCAATATTGATGTCATTTAGTTCTTCAATAAAATATAACTCACAAAGAAGGCTATAAGTAAAACAGTATTGTGGTCGGGATGGCAAACTCAAAGGAGCTATACAGTCTTTGATCTGCATGTTAGAACAAGCTTCTGTGTTGTGAAATATTCCAAGCTTAGAAACACTAGAGGCAATGCAGCACTCATGTAGGAAGCTGGTACTACAGTATTTTAGTTTTTGAAGTTACAAAACACATGTTAATACTTTTTCCTGTTTGTTTTTTAGGCTGGAGTAAAGGGGAAACTAGGCAGACTGCTTGGGATATTTGAGGTGAGCTATTTCCTTTACTTCTTAAACAATTTTTTTGTGAGAGCTGGTAAACCACAGCAAGTAACTTCTATACAATGCAGCCAAAATTTAAACTTAAGTATTACTTGCCTGTAATTTTACAATGCAACTTTAATGCTACTGGATGAGACATTAGACAGACTTTTGTTCTTTTAGTGCTACATGGTGTGAAGGTTTGAATAGGATGCTTTCAGTGTACTAGTAACTTCCCTGGAAAGATTAGATTAGCACTTAGAGAGCTGGAGTCAACATCTAGAATCAAACCACTGGCAGTTTTACATAATTCAGAACTTGTATTTCTTAGTGTAAACATCAGACTTGGAACATCCACTGACAACACAAGCATACTCTTTCAGTTTTGGCATTGCAGTAAACTGTACAAGTTCCAGATAAGTCCATGTGTTCAGAATTGTAGACTTGAGTCTTCAAATTGTATGTCCAATATATTATGTTGTGCTATACGGTGTGTGAGACTGGAAGTCCCCTAATCTAGTAGTTAGGCATGAATCTTCACAGTTCACAATAATGTTAAAACCAGCTTTCAGATAGATTTCTGACCTTTTTGGATGAGCAGATTTTCTTCAGTTTCACAGTTAAATCATGCTGCTTCAGATCTCCCGCCAAGTTCCTGAAATAGCTTTGCCATTCAGTAGAATTCAGGGATTGTTGCAGTTTAAATTCATAAAATAAAACCTAGATCTTAACTAAGACTTGCATGTTATGTTGTCCTTAAAATATTTGTCTTCACCTACAGCCAGGGAATGAAAGCCCCTTTCATAACTAGTGCTTCTAGATAATTGAACTACATGAGCTCATAGTTGAATGTAACTGAATTGGTGACCATCTAACGGTGAGGAGAATGAACACCAGACTAGGAGAATGAGCACCAGACTCACCAGTAATCACCAGTCCTCCCACTTCAGAGTAACAAAAAACCTTGATTAACTAAAATAAAACTGATCTATTGATGCGGTTCTGTGTGATGCAGCTGCAGGAGAACTTGTAACTTTTATTCTCACTTCCCCCATATGTAATGTGCAATCCAGCTTTTTAAAGGGGTTTAAAGAGTAAGGGGTTTCTGCCAAACCAAGGGAATAATATCTACTTAGCGGGAGAAAGATACCTGAAGTTTAACTTCATTTTTAGGTTTTTCAGAAAATTAAATATAGCAGTCCGAGACTGTGGAGTAGTTGTCCTCGGTGAAAGCATTTCACTTATTGCCTGGTCAGTCCTTCTGCCAGCCTTGTTGAGATTTCTTCCCAGATCATCATTTCCAACTGTAGCCGAAATTCGATGTGCAAACTAGTGACTAAGGAGAAAAGTAAGACTCCTTGCAAATCTCATCACAGGTGGTGATCATGTGCTTATTATATAATGCCAAAGTAGCAGTGAGTATAATGTTAGAAGCTGCTGCTAACACAGCAAGATCAAAGATTTTGTTAACTATGCATGATGGGATACCATGTAGCCTTTTGAATCTCTTGTGCTTGCTTTTACAGGAAATATTATTTGGTTATATGTATGACTAGTTTATACAGTGTTAAAGGTGATTGTATTGGGAAGCATGGAAATAGCAACTGAAGCAGAAGTTTGAGTTAGTAGCATTTGCTGTACCTCTGCCCTTTTTCTGATTTGTTTTGGGTTATGAGTATACCTGAATGCCCTGCACAGAACTTGTTTGTTTTTTGACCTCTGCTGGTTGGTCTGCAAAACTAGTCTCTCAGACCAAAAAAGATAGACTACCTGTCACCTTCTGGCCTTAAAACGGTGGCTGAGGGGGATGCATGATTTCTTGGTAATTCAAGTGTCCGTTTCCCTGAAGACACTTGTCACTATCTAGACAAGGGATAAATCTGTGTTGAAAGGGGCATTTTCCTAGGTTTTAACCTAGGTAAGTCCCTAATACAGTTTCCTAACATGACCCCACAAATAGTTGTCAGTACAATTGAAGGGGCTGCATGTTGTAGCTCAGCGATGGAAGTGAAGGGAAAACAGAAATGATATTGCTGCTGCATCCTCATTTTCTAGAACAGAAAGGCAGAAAGGATATCTTAGATGTGTTTACTCTCTTTGCCAGTGTTATTGACAAAAATAAGAATTTTACATTTGTCATGATTGCAGATACAGGCTGTTTAACTTGCTTTACTTACTCTGAATGAAGCTTTATAATCAGCATTACATAGGTGATTAGACCACACGAAGGTAATGGTACCGTCTTGACTAAGGGGTTTTTATAACCTTTCATCTAGGAGCATGAGTTGTGAAAACAGTTTTAGCAAATGCACTATATGAAAACTTAAAACACGTAAATGAGAAGTATAAGCAGTAGTAATGGATAACTGCTAATGCCAAACTGGATGATTGAGAACATGATTTAGTTCTGACTTCATAGCCTTCAACTTTGCATGGGTTTTTATAAGCCTGACAGAATAGAAAAGCTGTTTTTTCCAAATAAAATTTCAGATTTCCTGTACTTCTGGACCCACTCAGTACAGATGTTTAGTCAGTGAAAATAAAAGCCAGGTTTTGCTGGGATAAATAACTTCAGGGCAAACAACACAAATATAAGATTAGAAGTTAAGTCTGCAAGTTATTTACAATTGTTGATGTGAATTAAAACTTCTATTTGTAACATTCAAGCAGAACCAAGATCGGAAGCATAGGACATACGTTTATGTTCTCACTGTGACTGAAATACTGGAAGACTGGGAAGATTCAGTTAATATAGGTAAACCCCTTCTCTATCTTCATGTGCTATACTCGCAATGTGTTAAGCAAACTTCTTTCTTAATCTGAAGCAGGTTTTATCTTTCTAGGGAGAATCTTAATTCTATTCTATAAAACGAAATTATTGGAAATAGTGATGCTATTCTTCCATACTTCCGTACGAATGTAGCTAGAGTTGCTTCCAATATATTGTATTACTCTTCTGTTATTTAAATTGGATATTCTACATATTAAGATGGATTAAATTTCATTTTTAGTTGCAGTTACATCTGTATAGATGTAACTATAAAGATGTAACTGTAAAGGTTCAGTGTATTTGTCCAGTTGAATTTTGAGTAAACTTGAGAATTGGTATGAAAAGTGACATCCTGGCTTGATTGATATAGTTGTGTGTATATGTGCGCATGCACACTTTGGTTCTGTTTTTCCTCAGGGTTCTGAACCTGGTATCAAAACTGACATCCTCGCTTGACTGAGGGGGGATGTGTGTGTACACATACATGTGGAGTGTTTTGGTGGTTTTTCCTCTTTCCTCAGGGTTCTGACCTGGAACTGTACTGAGTCTGAGGACAGTACTGGTCTGCTCCTGCCTAGTACCAGGCTAGTGGGGGGAGGGCAGCATCCAGCAGTGGGGCTACTGGCAACTTATTTCTCCTAGCAAACTAGGGAGAGCAGCTAGCAGTGGGATGCTATGAATGAACTGTCTTGATGGGCCAAAATATCTTGTCTTAAACGGGCAATTTACAGCAGCTATAATAGTGTACAAGTATAGTATCTGTATGACATCTAATGTTGTAAAGCCAAATGCAAAATGAGGCTAATTCCACTTTTCAGAACACTATCCTCATCTATAAGTAGTTTCAGAGGCCTTTAGCATTAAAGAACTTACTTGTGCGTCTTAGAACTTACCTAAACGTTTCTCTAGTATAAGGTGTGTTATTTTTGAAGACATACAGCTAACCTGAGTAACTTCATACATGCATATGTCTTGAGTATGGAATGCTGCTTTCTACATTAGACCAAGCCATTCTTACTTTGTAACATGATGCATGTATGTTCATTCTTCACATATGGTTCTGTGCTAGGCATGGCAACGCAGAAAGGCAGTATTAAGTCATGTCAATGTTATTTCTTTCTGAAAGAACTGGATGTATTTTTTCCACAGTTACTGCTTGAAGGGGGTCCTTTTCTGAAATGCTTTATTATAAACTTAGTTTCAGTAAGCTTGAGTGAATCTTGTGTTCATCAGTTCTTTCAGCATTTCTTCAGTCTTTATCTTCTGCCTGACAGCTTGAATTTCTAAAGTAAAAGAAATAAGGAAAAGCAGACTTTCAGACAGCAACAAAAAGTGCCATTGAAAATTTGTAACTCTTTATTTTTCTTTGTGAATTATACTCCCTTCAGGAAGGAAAAGAGAATGGTTTAAAGTAGAAGACGCGATCAAGGTCCTTCAGTGTCACAAGCCTGTTCATGCAGAGTACTTGGAAAAACTGAAACTGAGCTGTTCACCCACTAATGGAAATTCTGTGGTTCCCCCTCTTCCAGATAATAACTCCTTATATGTCACTTCTGCACAGACTTCTGGGTTGCCCTCTACTGTGAGATAAACATTTGGATTACCTTTTTATTCATGTCATCACAAGGGGAGAGACATCAGTGTTCACATGTTAGGCATCTGTATAACTGTCGGTTCTAAGTAAAATATGTGGATGTGTTATGTCAAATTTGTTTGAACATATTTTTCCTTTTTAACAATGTAAAATAATATTTCAGCAAACCAAAGCCATATATGGATTTTTTTAAGATGCCTTAATAGGCCATTTTTAAAAAAAGAAAATGCAACTTGAATATATAAATTTCCATATCTGCTAAAATAAAATATGCATCTTGATTGTGTTCAGCTTATTGAAGACTTGTCAGTTTTAGTCAGTAGTTCTGCAAGAGTACTTGCTTAGAGCAAAGCTTGAGCGAATAGTCTTAAACTATACTCTTACTTGGTATCCACAAATGAAGTGTTAAGAACTTAAGATAGCATGATTTGGGGAAAACAGGTGTTGTGAAGGAAGAGATGTGTGACTATAATGAAGCACTAAAACATTCAGCCTATTGCAGCAAAGGATGCCAACACTAAGCAACATTTGCCTCAGTCCTCCAAAAGGTTGCCTTGTCCTATGCAATCTTCACATAATGTAGAGAACTAGAAGAGGAAGAATAAATTCATGTCTTGCAACTACCAAAACCATTCAGCATACTTTAGTTACTTGGCCAGCTGGTAAGATGTCTGATGTACGTGAAGAGTGTTGCAGATTTCCCTCATCCGTTTGTTTGTTACTCCTAACATTAATGTTCATTTTGTTCATGGTGCAATTATTTTGTAGGTTCCAAAAATCTTCTTGTTTTCAGTGAGAAACATCTTACGTAGTGTTCCTGCAGCCCTTGATGATATAAAAAATGTTTAGGGAGAAGTAAGACTTGTCCGAGGGGCATCTTGTATTGTTGAGTTGTCTAGTTCCTGCTGGGCAAGATTGCTTGCTAATAGACTGGTACTTCCTGGGCTTGGAGGCAAGTGTGTTGATACTTACACTAAAGGAGGAATAATGTTTCTTTGTCTTATCAGCTATGCTGAAAAAGCCCCAATGTTCAATTAGTTCTTAAATACTTTAATTTTGCTGTTTTTAACATCTATTGCTTTAGCTTTTTGAATTGAAAGCTGACCTCTTGGTGAAACTGAGCTGGAAGAAATGAGGTACAGCTGATAACTTTCCTGTTCATTTTTTTTCTTTTCTCTTTCAGCCAAAAAGATGAAACCCAAATCCACTGTAGGTCTTAATATATTCTTACCATAGGGTTGGTGTGCATGTGTGTGATTTTCTGCAAGAACACAATCTAATTTATTTGGACATCCTAATTCTGAATTTTTTAGGATCTAAACATTAGACCTAATTGTACCTCCTCTCCAGTCAGCCAAAACAGGTTGAGGTAGAACACACTGCCTCACATGTGAAGTTTATTCTGGGTAAAGCTCATTCTCTTGCATCATTTAAACATTTGTAAATAGTTCAACTAGTAAATAGTGAGTGTAAAATGGAAAATAAATGTAATTTAAACCTTTTGTTACTCAATACACAAATGGTTAACTTCTACTTTTTTAACACAAATTGTGTAAAATGCTGCTATAAATTAAACTTTTTTGTGCTGTTACACTTTTTTAGGAAAAAATACTGTTGCCACAAGATTGGTTTTTCTAGAAGAGTAACTTGTGCCATATGTAAATGCAGTGAAACTAGGGAGACAAACGTTCCAATCTCTTAATGCTGCTGTCTTTGAAGAAGCATAAGTACTACTGACAAAAGGCATGAGCCACAAAGCTGAAGAATTGTGAAATTCTGGGTAGAATGCATCTTTTCCATCCCTGTATCTGCTATTCCTGGTCACTTCCAGAACTGGAAAAAACATGCAGCTCTTTTGAGGTGCATCTAAAGGTGGTGGAAGTATTGCAGATAGTTTAGTTTTACTTCCAGTAAGGAGGTGGTTGGAGGGGAAGAGTGTGATATTTCAGTAGTTCACAAGAGTGTATGCAGACTTCACGCTGAACCTAATCCAGACTGGGACACCATTGGCTCAGCCCATTTCTGAGAGCTTATGGTAGACAAACCTGAGAACAGTGGAATCAGTGGAATTAGGCATTTTAAAGAATGTCTGATCTTTGTTAAAATTGCTGAACCACTGTATGTAAGGGTACCTCTGGCTCTAAAGCTGCCTTTAAAAGAGTGAAGAATTTAGCTCCCTTTTTTTAGTCACTTACAGTTGATGCTTTTTTCTTTTTTGTTCAGTAGTCATTTTAACACTTTGAATTGAGCAAACTTGTACAGGCTTTCTTGTGACAAGATTATAATCTGTGAAACTTAAACCAAGAATCCAGAGTTGAAGTTCTTATTCATAAAAATGCTTCTGTCTCAGTTTCAAATTCTTGGAATGAAACCAATCAGAGCTTGTATGAGATTTAGTGGTAATGCATGATCTTATTTTGTAATCTTGAATTATGTATTTGATAATGTAAAAATGTACAGTACTGCTGTTGCTGACAAACTCAGAGTTGATTGCCTATAAATATTTTTGTTATTTTTTGGTCATATACATTTGAGCTGTTCAGTAGTGCCAGATGGATTTTTTTTTAAACAGCATTCATTGTATAAATCTCTTCAGTCCCTATGCAGCCTTCAGAATGAAGCTCAATATTGTTTAGCTTGACTTCTGCCTTTTAAAGATAAATGTTCGGTGAATTGTACAAACCTGCCAGTGAAGGTAATTTGAGAATACTTCAGTTATGCTACAGGAACCTAATGCAGTAAGTGGGCAGTGAGCATGTCCTGGCTCTTAACTAAATTTAACACTAAACTTAAACAGAAAGGGCCTGTGTAAAAGTTGTGATAGGAAGGCTGAAAGGTATCCTAGTTCCTGTTGATGTAAATGTACCAAACCTATCTGGTACAGAGCAGATTCTGGATAGCTCTTATACCATAGAGCCTGTGTAACATATCCCAATTCAGTTCTTCAGTGAAGAAAGGGAAGAGAGTGGTCTCAGCTGCAAGTGTCAAAGTTGACTTCGCACCACTGCTTTTCCTGGCTGTGACTAGCATGAGATTATGGTATCAAACAAATAGCCTTAATCTTTAAACCCAGGTGGAACTGGAATTAAGTGAAGTGGATGTTTTGAACACTGCAAGAAATATTGAGGTATTGCACAGAGGCTGTTAAAGTGAAAAATCTTATTTTGGTGCTTATTGCACCACTGATGTAGTGTAGTCTCTTAACCATGCGCTGTGGAAAAAAAAAAAGTAAGAGGAAAACAGTTGATTTACTTAACAACATGGTTTGTGAAGTGAAAACTGAAGGGAAGGGGTGTGGGGGGGGGGGACAATTTTAAGTTGTAAACATTTTGACCTGCTTGCATGGATTTTCTTTAAAGATTGATGTAAGAATTTTGACTTTTTATATTTGAAATATACCAAAATAAAATTAATTTAGTCCTGTGGATGGTGTAGTCATTCTGTCTCAAGTATAGCAAATGAAGTTTTTGCAGAAAAGGCTTAGATCCCATCTAAAATATACTTCATAGTTTCAACTGTTTCCTGCTTGCCTCATCCTTGCAGTCTTTAGCCTCACAGGGCACTGTGAGAGCCTTCTGAAGTAGTACTTATACCAGCACAACTGGCTTCTTGTAGTCCTCTCATATAACTTTCAGCAATTAGATGAACTGTAACCCTATACTTCCTCTTAACCCTGCCAGTTGCACCTAGATGTGCACTAACATCTGTACAATGACCATTGAAACAGCTACACCTGATGAAGTGCAGGGTTGCATAGACCTTTGGTCTCATCTTCAGCAGTGCCTAGAAAAATGGATAAGAGCAGGACAGTAAGTCTTTGCCTCAAGGTTTGTCCTAGCCTACAACCATTTGTAGCTCAGGATCTTCAAGTCGGACACCATTCCTTTGTATTCAGTTACCATCAGTGTATTTCTTCCCCCAGAATTCACACCCCCCCCCCACTTAGAACATGTCAATCACAGTGTGAGGAAGGGAAAGGCTAACTGCCTCCTTCCATGGTCTTTTGACAGTGAGCAGCCAGCCTTTCCCTGCCTCGCACCAAGTTCTGACCACCAGCCCATTACCACACAACCATCTGGATTTACAGGAGCTCTCACTTACTTTGGCATAGATCAGCACACCCCAAGCATCATACAAAGCTGCAGCTCCCCCCCCCCAAACAAGGGTAAAGTGTTTAAGCACAAGATGCAGCAGGAAAAGCAGAATGATTGTTTTTTTCCAAGACTTGGAAAGATGATGAAAAGAATCTTCTAACTTTGAGAGTTCTCTTTTTTTTAAGCTGTACCTGTTACTTTCAACAACACACAAAGCAAAGGGTTGAACACTATTATGGCCTCAGTACTGCTGTAGCCTTTAGCTGGGCATAAACCACTTATCTCAAGGTCCAAAGCCAGCACTACATGGCCACATTAGGAAGACAGATAATCACAGAATCACAGAATCGTTTAGGTTGGAAGGGACCTCTGGAGATCATCTAGTCCAACCTCCCTGCTCAAGCAGGGTTCCACACAAGGCCCAGCATCGTGTTCTAACCTGCACAGACAGCAGCCACACCACTTCATGCCCTGATTGCCACACACAGGCGCATGCTCTGGGCTGTGCTCCATCTGGAACGATGCTGTCAGGCAGTTTTCCCCCACTCCTTTTCTGTCCTCAAATAAGCACAAACTGCTGTTCAAAGAGCGAGTTTAGTAAAGACAGAGGCCACTGACCAAGCCTACAGCATGGTCAGCTACTCCATGCCTAGTGGACTAAGCTGAACTTCCTGAAGTAACAGCTATCATTGGTTATACTTTTCAGATAGCTTTCCCTCATTACCTAGGACAATGTTAAGAAACACATGCTAAAACACACTACTGGGCAAAGGTCCCACCATTTTATGCACTTATCCTCATATTGGCTTACCTAGGGGCTGGCCACCCCCTACTATCCAACCCCACCTGCACTAGCATGTCTAAGCCAAAATCATCACTGCTACATCCAGAGAGGCCTTGCAATAAGGCCTTTGGTGTAAGTTCCTCTTTGAGGGACTTCTGCTCTTACTCAGTGCAACTTAGTGCACTTTCTGCTTTCCAGCTACACCACTGGAAAAGCCTGCCTTTGAATGAGGCAGGCAGACACCCACAGCAGCAGCAGCAGGAGCAATACCATTGGACCCCCTTTACTCTGCTTCAGTCTTCTGAGGTTAGTCTGCCTTGAATATTTATGCACAGAGCTGGAAAGGACCACAGCCCCCTCCCCCCATAAGTAAGTTTATCAGTACCCCTCTTAAGCCTTCAGTTACCTATAATAAGAATCAGGGGAGTTGAGGGACAATCACAGTATCAGTACTTCTAATGGCAGGCTTATCTTATAGCCCGCATAGGTACAGCAAGCACGAGCTGAACCCCTCAGAGGGCATGCTTAGGTTTTACACTTGACCATGCAAACCTGACTTTACAGAAATTAGGGCTATTTAAACTTGCGTGTGTGTCACAGTTGGAGGTATGACAGCAGTATCTCCTCTCTAGACAGAGATGAGTTTCCTGTGTGAAACAATTTTATTTTCCATTTTTCATGATTCTGTTCCAGTCATATCACACCTGCATCAGCACCTTATCTGGGCAAGCTACTGAAAGGGTGATTGCTCGATATACAGAAATTTTAAATATTCTACTACCAAGTTCTCTCTTTACCTTGAAGAGGATCCTTGAGTATTCAGCGGCTCAGTGATAGGCTAATCAAAGGTGACAAATCCTTAGCAACACACTGAGCTATCAAGGAGATTAGTTATCTTAGAGTTACACTTCTCTTTGCCATCCAGGATATGTCATCCAGTAAAAACTGCTCAACTAAGAAGCTCTTAGTTAAGAACTATTGAAACAGAGCAGTTTTTAGCCTTAGCTCTTTGCCCTGTAGACAAAGTTAGAATAGTCCACTGGCTCATCCTGAAGCACTTCTGGCTTTTACCTACAAGTTTGAGGAGACTGTATCAGGACAAGCAGTTAAGCTCGTGTGATGCCACTTCTCTCATATAATTCAGTGCAAAATAACACTTGGATATTCACTTTAAAATCTCCCTGCACACTTTGACAGCAAAGGCTCTAAAACATAGTAGGAAATCCATTAGACAAAGCAGATAGGAAATTAATAACATACTAGCATGCATGTTAGTAATGTAACATGGCTTATCAATACATAACAATGCATCTGTTTATCAATTAGATAACACTAGAAAGTGTTCAAACTGTGTACTTAAGTAGTAAAGTCTGGTACTAAAATATCCCATGAGAATCGACACAACAACAGCAATTGAAAAGTGAGTTATGAGATATAAAATACAGAAGATAACTCTTGACAACTAAGAGATGTGAACTGTAGGAAACTAAGTCACACAGCAATGTCATCCCACTACAGTCAAATGAAGCTCAGTGTCTATGTAATGAATAATCACTCTTCCTTTTATTTCAGTGTCATGTTACATTACAGTCAAGACATGTTATTGACAAAACCTACCAGACATTTTACTTGAAAGTAACCCTCAAAAAATTCCAGAAAGGAACGTACATAAATTTAGAGATGCCACAATTTTTGATGTTACTAGTCCATTAAGATGTTTTACAATACTCTTGATGCATTGGAAACACACTTTCTTGAAAGCTATCAAAGCAACATTTCACTTGTATTAGACTAAAGTCAGCTAACAGGCAAAAAAACCCGTTTCATCAGTTCCCAGTGACAACACACTTCACACCCATGAAAGAATATGGCTGTATGCTTAAAGATGACCACCGCTTCTCTTCAGAATGCTTATGCAAAAATAAAAGCCTCCCAAATCCTTATTCTTGTTCTAAAGGAAAATCCCTGCAAAGTGTTTTGCAGGTGTAGTTTTAGAGTCCATTTGATAATCCAGGCTTTACAGCTATACAGTTATTATCCAGAAATTAAAATATAAAATGCAATGATGTCAACACTCTTGTTCAGGATTTCAGAATACTTGACACTTAGCACCAGTAATGTTATAGGAAACCCCTTTACTGTAGATTTATCCAATGAATATACATTAAAAATGCAGATAAAACTAATGCTCACTAGAAGCAAGCTGCATTTGCTAGCCAGCTGTAATGCTAGATGTTACAGAAGTAATCAAGTTTCAGATAATGGCTGTGAATCCGTCTGTTTAACTGAGGGGGAAGGGGAGAGTTATATTTAACCAACTTCAGAAATTTGGTCTAAAAATTTCACTGATTCCCAAGTACAATATAGCATGAAATTCCCAGCTTTGCTTTGTACACGGCTCTGTAACTGGGCTCAAAAATTAAATACATTTTTATATATATATATAAATACACACACACAGAGTCCAAATTTAAAAGGATTAAAATATGTCTGAATAGATCCCACAAACAGGAATTTTAGTTTTAGGAAGCCCTCTTAAAAATTCCTTTCATGAGAACTATCACTTGAGTTGTGTTTCAAAACTTTTTAGACAAATACAGTATTTAACCTGTTCTTCTACGCCATTACATTCAGACATACCAGAACTATGAACTCATACATTCAAATTCAGCCAGTATGGACTTCTCTAGGTTCCCAGCTCATTAAGATACTTGGGGGAGGTGGGGGGAATCACCCACGTACATACTGGCTACTGTGCACTCCAACTGTACTATACTCCACTTCTGTCCCCATTTGATAGTGACTGAATGAATTTTTCTTCCTATTAATATAGTAACAATATTCAATCAAGAACTTATGATAAAGTATTTTTACATGAACTCTAGCTGAGTTTTAGCCTTGAACATACAAAACATAGCGCTATCTTTGGTCTGGATTCATCCCACCTAATTTTAAATTCAATTCTGTTAAGTGCCAATTCAGATCCTGCTTCTCATCTACAGTTAGTTTAGGGGAAACAGAAGGGAGCCACTTTCAGAGGGGATTGCAAAGTGGGTTTGTCCAGCCTCTGGAGGTGCCACTCTTCCTCTGACTACAGGCTGAGCTGAGGAAAGCTGTACATTTATGGTAGCGTCCATTTAAAGTTTTAAGAGGTAGGTGAAGTGAATCCAGGACACAGTTCACGGACAACTTCTGTGATAGCAGCTGAGAGTACATGTTAACGGTGTGTATGGGATCTATGCCAACTAAACCCAAACATACATACATTCATTCATAAAAAGAAATTAGGGTTAGTGGCGCTTACCCGTTCCGAATAACAAATGATCTGTTACAAGCCCTGAATGCAACTTTGGCTTACATTCGACACAGAAACTACTCTTAAAACTTTTTTGCAGCTTAGTCTTGTTGAAAAAGTTGAATTCTGAGCCAAGATGCAACCATGTTACAGCACAGTATTTTGAGGGACAATACCAGTTACTAACCACTGAAAGCATTGCATGTTGAAAATGTAGTTTTAATAGATATTCTTCATCTTACATAAGAGCACAATAAATACACCACATTCTATAGAAGTTTCCAGATGACACTAGAGTAAGAGGTGAAAGAAGGACAAGACCACCGATGGGCTGCATCATAACCATAACCCTGAACTGCATGACAAAACACTCCCACTGCAAGCTGTCATTTATTCACTTCAGGTTGGCCACACCAAAAGCTTAAAAGCTCTTTTTTTTTTGTTTGTTCGGGGAGGGTGGGAATTAAGGGCAGAAAATAAGGGATACAAGAAGTTAAAGGGAAGCAATAAGATGGGTTCCCAGAAAAAGATGCTGGGCTCCTGGAAGAGATGCATACACACCAAAACAAGGACGAGAAGGATGTTTTTAATCAAACTTGCCTTCTCTCCAACAAAGAAGCTTTGCTGCTATTTAGGCAGACTGGTTGTTCCAACAAGTAGCTTAATAAGGCTTGTAGATAAGACCAGTGGTATGAGGCGCTAGCCGTAAGTGGTTAAGCAAACATCAGTTGATTTACAAGCTGCTTGTAA